CTGCTATGCTGGTAAGGGTCATGAAAAACGCCAGAAATCGGCTTATTCAGTGTATGGACAATGGGGGGGGGCGTCACCTACCTGATATGATTTTCAAAACTGTGTAAAACAGAACTTTAGATATGTACCTACATTATTAAAGACAGTAAAAACAATTCTGATTCATAAAATGGGTTTTATTGCGATTTGAAAAAAGGAAGTTATGTTGCCGCACCCTGTACTTTCAAATACTTATGTAAAATAACTGTGCTGGCAATACACAGTGATTTTATGTAAAACGTGACCACAATACACAATGATTTTACATACGATGTACAGAAGGTCCACCATGTATTATGTTGGAATGATATGCCTCAGCATGGTGGTTCAAAACCCAACTCCAAGCAAATGTTAATATTAAAGATACATTGCAACCCCCACACACACACTGCAAGGGTTAAAAGATTTTGTACAAGTAATTGTAAACGATTACATATACCCAGTGATATGACTGGCCTCAGCTGATGCCCAGAGATTAAACAAATCCCCCTACTTAAGTTGTACCTATTTACCTGCGGTCCTCTCTTCTCTACAGCCCTGCAAAGTGAAGAATTTATACAGCTTGTCTGAGCTTTCAGAATGCAGAGTTCAGTGTGAGTGGTTGGAAGGAAGGGACCCCCCCCCCCCCTTTCACAGTGCACACAGAAACAGGGCTGAGGCTGTCAATCACAGGCTGTGTGCTGGAGCTCCCTTCCCTGTCCTTTAGCTCTTGTCAGGAAAATTTGTCAGAAGTGACTCATGCAAAAGCATAGGATCAAGGCAGCAGATAGAAAGGACACTAAGTTCTCTGTATTGAGACAAGCACACACCATAGAGGGATATACTTTGTTCATATTACTTGTCTGAGGTTTACAATCTCTTTAGCCTTGGGGAATAGGAATAGTCAGCGATATTTAACATATTACACATTCCCACAGGCTTCCTTCTGCTGTGAGAGGTCCCACAATGTGCCTTTCCTCCCTGCTCCTCCGGTAGCATTGTTTATGAGGGTGTCAAATCAAAAGCAGAGGAGAGCTCTGGTTGCTGGACAAAACAAGGAATAAGGTAAGTAACTGTGATTATCCCAATTATCCTAGACTCCATAAGCATGCAATGCAAGTATTGGGTGGGGATTGGGGGGTCCCACTGCATAGTAATTTTTAAAGCTGACTGAAGATCAGCTTTAAAGCCTAACTGAAACTGAACCCTTTTCTTTTATTAGTCTAATACAGGGGTGGGCAACTGTGGCCCTCCAGTTGTTGGTGAACTACAAGTCCCATCATGCCTCTGCGTTTTGGGAGTCATGCTTGTAACTGTCAGTTTTGCAATGCCTCATGGGACTTGTAGTTCTACAACAGCTGGAGGGCCACAGTTGCCCACCCCTGGTCTAATACATTTAAGGAATAAAAGAGTATGTAAACCGAACACTTCATAAACCTGATATGTGCCTGTTGTACCATGTACTAATATGAAAAAGTATCCTGTTCTCTTTGCATTCCCTCCTTTGTGTGAAACCCTGTTTCCTACTATACCCTCTACGTTTTCTATTAAAAAAAAAAAAAAAACTGACCACACTAGGCATGGGAGCACAGCGAGGTCAACTTTCTGGCTGCACTGAGAACTCAGTCTGCACTTATCCATTGATCAGACTTGTCCTGACCCCCCACCCCAGCACAGCCAATCACTGGGAAGACCAGTGTGCTGCTACTTCTCCTCCCTCCCCTATCTATTGCAACTGAGAACAGAGGGAGTATAATCACTTAAAAAAAGGGAAATTGTTTTTATAATGTTTTTCATATCTATAAACAAATGTTTTACCTTCATTCTATTTTAAACTGTATGGGTTGTTTTACAAGGTAAGGGTTTACATATAACTTAAGCTGGATACAATGTAGGTCTTTTTTAACTATTACTTTTTAGTACTTTTGCTGGGTAACTGGTTCCTTGACCCGTGTTTCCTACTACCCTCTCCTGACCCCTTTGAGAACACAATAGCGGAATTTGAATTCATTTTCTGAGGTTGTGTTTTATTTATGTCCTCACTGCTACCAATAGATGACTCTTCCAATGGAAAATCTGCCTCCATTGCCTCTAACAATTCCAAGGTATCTGCAGATGCTGAGGAATCTTTAAAGGAAATGTTTTTGTTGTTTCTTCAAAATATACCTAAGTTTCCAGTTGTGATAAAAGCCTCTACATTTCCATTCATAAACCTCATGACATTGATAATCCCTTAGATCATGCTGGAACGTAACCCTTTTAACCTCCATAATCTCATGTTCCTGTTTTTTTTTTTAATTCTTGTAAGATGTCATTCAATTTATGATATTCGGCTAGGTCATGAAAGGGCTCCAACTGTGTCCTAGGGAATCAAGCTTTTGCTGTTATTCCGACAATTTATTTTGTTCTTGTGCTATAATTAAATTCAGCAGTTAAAGGAACAGTTGGGAATTGCTCACAAATTTATCAGAAAAGATGATAATAGGAATTTTTTGGATGCATAGTCCACATGGGATCATCCTATCGGCCACATATGTTTTAAAGCTAGTCAGATCCCTCCAGATTCTGGCTTCATCATATGACATACTGTACATCCTGCAATTCTGTTCGTTTTAATTCTTGAAAGGAATTTTCTTCCAACGACTCTGTCAGAAAAGCTGTAGCAGTCAGCAACATTCTCTATGTTTGACTTGTTCCTACACCATCATCAAGCAGTTCACTCATGCTGGTAAATCACAGTTATGAAGGACCAGTCTCCGTTACTTCACATCAAGCATGCATGCGGTAATCAAACAAACATTGGTACATTAATTCTGTAGGAATGTATATAAACATTTATACCAAGCCTCTGTAAAGTTCATGAAACAATTAACTCCAATAACAAATGCTACAAAGGTACTGTATCTCTGCAATTCATTTCAATGGGGAGAGCATCAGAGACACAATATAGCATGGCTTATAATTTTGAGTCTAGACCTACTAGTCAGGCACAAACTTTACTCCCCACCAGTTGCCCCACCCAGCCTTGCTCAGGTCCGCCTCCACCCCCACCCCCGTCCCATCCCTCAACCCCACCCCAAGCCCTGCCCCCAACCATGCCCCCTTAAAACTTATGAAATTACATTTTTCTTTAGAATAAAGAGTCTAAAATATAAAAACTGCAAATATAACATAGCTTTATGTATTTAAAAAGACCATATACTAAATATGCTGGATACATGACAGAGGGCAATTGGAAAGTGAGGACAATATTCCAGTTGCATATCAGTATACTGCAATGCATCCTTTATTAGAGGGGAGATCAATCAATAAAGTGTTCACAGGTTACTTTTTTGTAACTGTATTTAAGAGATCAGACACTGGATACATGACAGATGCATACTGGAAACTGAGAAGCAGATTGGCAAATACATAAGAGTATACAGCAATAAATCCATAATTAGAGGGGAGATCAGATCATTGAAGTGGTCACAGGTTACTATTTTGTAAATCTGTATTTAAGAGATCGCACACTGACTGGATACATGATAGATCAGGGGTGGGCAAACTTTTTGACTTGAGGGCCGCAATGGGTTCATATATTGGACCCGGGGGCCGGACCAAGAGTAGATGAATGATGTGTATGTGTCATCCATAGTAAGTATAGTAATATTCCCCCATAGTAAGCATAGTAATTAATCCCCCCTATAGTAATTCATCCCCCATAGTAATTCATCCCCACATAGTAATTCATCCCCCATATAGTAATTCATACCCCCATAGTAATTCATCCCCCATAGTAATTCATCCCCCATATAGTAATGCGTCCCCCATATAGTAATTCGTCCCCCATAGTAATTCATCCCCCATATAGTAATTCATCCCCCATATAGTAATTCATCCCCCATATAGTAATTCATCCCCCATATAGTAATTCATCCCCCATATAGTAATTCACCCCCCCTATAGTAATTCATCCCCCCTATAGTAATTCATCCCCCATATAGTAATTCATCCCCCATAGTAATTCATCCCCAATATAGTAAATTCATCCCCAATATAGTAATTCATCCCCCATATAGTAATTCATCCCCCATAGTAATTCATCCCCCATATAGTAATTCATCCCCCGTAGTAATTCATCCCCCATATAGTAATTCATCCCCCTATAGTAATTCATCCCCCCTATAGTAATTCATCCCCCCTATAGTAATTCATCCCTCATATAGTAATTCATCCTCCATATAGTAATTCATCCCCCATAGTAATTCATCCCCCCTATAGTAATTCATCCCTCATAGTAATTCATCCCCCCTATAGTAATTCATCCCCCCTATTAATTCATCCCCCATATTAAGTCCCCAAGTCCCCCCTGTGTCAATTCACTTACCTTTGCTCCGCGCGTTCTTCTCGCCGGGTTCCCGCGCCGTTCCGGTGTAGCATGAAAATCTGTCTCCTATGAGGATCTGTCCCCCTCGACGTATCTGCGCATGTGCCAGTTTCAGGCATTAGCAGCCGATCGGCGATCTCCGGCACATGCGCAGATACGTCAAGGGGGACAGATCCTCATAGGAGACAGATTTTCATGCTGCACCGGTCTTCAGGGCGGACTGAGAGAGGAGCCTAGCTCCGCGGGCCGGATTAAAAGGTCCGCCGGGCCGTATACGGCCCGCGAGCCGTAGTTTGCCCATTGCTGTGATAGATACATATTGAAAAGTGAGCAGTATATTGCCAGAAACAGCAATACATCCATCATTAGAGGAGAGACCAACCAATACAGTGTTTACAGGTTACTTTTTTTGTAACTTTGTTTTTAAGAGATCACACACTGGATACATGGCAGCTGTCAATTGGGAAGTGAGGAGCATACTGCCAGATGCAGCAATATATCCATAATAAGAGGGAAAATCAAATCAATAGAGGGCTCACAGGTCCTTTTTGGTAACAATGTATTTAAGAGATCTGACACTGGATACATTTGGCAGTTGCGAAGTGAGGAGCATACTGCCGGCTACATATCAGTATACAGCACTACCAGGGCCGGACTGACCATTTGGAAACTCGGGCACTGCCAGAGGGCCCGGGGTCAGTAGGGGGCCCTTGGTACCTTTTTCATAGGCCTTTTTGAGTTTGGGCAAGGACACAGGGGCTCCATGATCCCCTATTGTCCCATGAGTTGTCAGTCCGCCCCTGAGCACTACATCCATCATCAGAGGGGAGATCAATCAATGACAGATGAGTTTGCCCATGCCATGCAATGTATGCTATAGGGCAGTACCCTGGGCAGGGACATGCCCCATCTACATGCTTGGCTCACCGTCCACCCCTGGCTGACAATCAGTCCTCCCAGGCCGGCCTTGGTCCCTGCTCTCCCCTGTGTGATCAGCCAGTAAACCCCCGTATGTTAATGAGCCTGGATCCCAGCCTCGCGGATGCTATGCCTGAGAAAAAGCCCCTCTGGCACAGAGGAAATGTGGTATTTTAGCAGCCGGTGCTCCCTATCCCCAACACAAGGATGGCCACTTCCAACCTACCGGATGCCGCGCACACATCTTCAGTGTGGGCACCCAGCTATGACAGCTTGCGGCTTCACAGCCAGGTGCCCACTGCGCATGTATGAGAAGTGCTGCGCTTTCTGGATGGTCCCGTATTCTTCTGGCCCTGTCGTGTCCCAGAGGACTATGGTGGGGAGGGGGAACAACTTCCAATTGCGATCGCCTAGGCGATTGCAGTGGAAGTGGGAGCGGGTACCTGCCAGTTTCGGGTTCCCGCTCCCCATTAAGGATTGGCACCTTTGGGGACCAGTCTTTAAAATGGAACTTCCCCTTCTGGGTGGAGCTCTGCTTTAAATATCATTAGCACAGAGTGTTCTTTTAGCACACCCTGTTGGAGCAAAATCATCACAGCATGTAACTGAGGTAATACACTCCATGCTCAGAGAACACTAGCCAGCACACAGCTAAGGTGATTAACCGCTTCCTGTCCACCCTATAGCAGAAGTACTGCTACAAAACGGCATGGGTGCACAAAATCACTATATATACGTGATTTTCGCATTTCTGGGTAGGGGGTATGTGCAAGGCACGTGCGCGCCCTTCCAGTGCTGCCATTCATGGCCTTGGCTGTTAATCACCGGTTCCGGCTGGTAATTACTCGCCGGCGCCGGTGATTGCCGAGCATCTCCGACGGGGAGGAGAACTGTTTATAAACAATACAGTTTTTCTCCCGTCAGCTCCTGCACACTGCTTTGCATGGCTCTGCATAGCACAGCCATACAGAGCAGTGTGCTTACAGTGAAACACACACACAGCCCAGTATGCAAAACAGCACAGTTAACCCTTTGATCACCTCACATGTTAACCCCTTCCTGCCCAGTGTCATTAGTACAGTGTCAGTGCTTTTTATTAGCACTGATCACTGTATTGGTGTCACTGGGAATGTCAGTGACACCAAGTCAGTTCCCCCCAGTGTCAAAATGCCCACTGCAGTCCCGCTCCCGCTATAAGTTGCCGATCACCACCATTACTAGTAAAAAAAAGAAAACAAAATTCCAATATATATACCGCCATTTGTAAACACTATAGCTTTCATGTAAACCAACTAATTTACACGTATTGTGATTTTTTTTTTTCACAAAGACATGTAGCAGAATGGATTTTGGCCTAAATTGATGGCGAAATTGATTTTTTAATTTTTTGTACTGGACATGTTTAATAGCAAATAGTCAAAAAAATATTTTTTTTTTCCTAAAATTGTCAATAAAGGTGATCAAATACCACTGAAAGAAAGCTCTATTTGTGGGGAAAAAAGGACATAAATTTAATTTGGGTGTGTTGTATGACCACGCAATTGTCAGTGAAAGTAACGCAGCGCCTTCTCTGGAGGGCAAGTGGTTAAATATCTCTAAGGCTATGTTTACACATGCCGCTGAAAAGTGATCCAGGGCTGGATTGCTTTCAGAGGCATTTGACAGGCAGAAGAGGCAATATGTCACCTCCCCTCCACCTGGGGGGCATAAAAACGCATCCCAAACCAAGTGATATTATCGCCTCCCAACCACAAGTGTAAACAAACACTTACAGAACACAAAAGTAGAAAAACAGAATTTGGAAAAACAGAACATGTGTCAGTGGCAGGATTATCTGGTGAAATGGTGAAGTGTAGCAGTACCCCTGAAAGAGCTGCTGGATGATGATGATGATGATGATGATAGGGCACAGTCACTTCACACTTCCTGATAGTTGCAGCATAAAAAATGATGATGGCCAGAATTCTCCCTTACTAGTTCAGAGGCTGCCAGCACACAAAGCACAGTTCAGGCCACACCGGCATATGGAGAATTCTAGGGAATGTCGTTTTGTGATTTATTGCTGAATAAACTTGGAGGGGGTGCAGGGTAGTAAGGGATACTCCAGGACCACTAACAATAACAGGAGGACACACTTCTCTATGCTACAGTCTCTGGAAACAAATCTACTAAATTTCAACAAGGAAGGAAAATACCTTGAAGTGTAGTAGCCAAGTAGGGACTACTATATTTAGAGACACTTTCCTTCTTTGTTGCTTGCCTTTAGAGTATACTCCACTCTCTGAAATGCTGCCCAAGTGTTTGGCTGTTCTACATGTTAGCCAATGATGGGAAATTCCTGTACACCGTAGGTAGATGAAAGCCCCCCCCCCCCCCTTCAGTGGGTCCTTCTACTTTGATGATGTTCTACTAAATGTCAGAGTATGTTCTCCCACAACAGACTAAGTGGAGGCCAGAAGTAGGGACCCCGCAGTAGAGGAACTACTTGACATAGCTGTCCTGATGGTACAAAGTCACCAGGACTTTGTAATAAATCATTACTCATGTAGCCAGGAGAGTAGCTGTGCCCATTCAGCTTCCTCCAGATACCTTCTAGTGAGCCTGTGTGGACTAGATCCTTTAGGTGAAGTCTCAGGATGCCAGAGACACTTTCAGGTGTAGGCCCCCCAGCCAGGACCTCAATGAACAACAACACCTTGGATGGGGGGGGGGTTAGCCACCACCATTCCCACCCAGACAGGTATAATCTCTTCGACAGAAAGACCCTGCTGTTCTAAAGCTCAGACTCTTTATGTGCACCTCATCACCTTCTGGGCCCACCTCCCCAGGGATTGGCTGTTGCACCATAAATATTCATGCTGCCCATTTGCCTTGCTCCACTCCCTGTGTTATAGAACTGTCTGTAAGGCAGAGCAATCAAACCTTCAACCTATGAAATCCAGAACAGCCAAAAGAAATCAACAACTGCTCCTCTGATTACAGAGGAGTAAAAAAAAACAAAATGTTCCTAACAACCTATATAGGAGGGTGCTGCAAAAGGTAAAAAGAACCTGAAAAACAAAAATGAATGCAGCTACCACATCTAAGGACTGATACAGGATATAACATTTTTGTTTCTTGGTTTGGATACACTTTAACAATATTTAACATAATATTTTTACCATCAAGCTGGCCACATCCACATATATATGTAGCACTGCCCTCTTGAGGCCCACTGGGTTTTTGCTGGTGCCCCTAAGCTCTGCACTGCCAGGCAAAATGTATTTTCCCCACTTTCTCTCAGAGTCAGTAAAACTGTCCTTGAGATTGTTTTTTTTTGTTTTTATTAGGGGTGAACAACTTGAATGGAGTATAGGGGTAAATAGGATGCCCAAGGAACTGTAAAAACTTGAGGAAAACTTTTTAGCAGAAAAATTTACAAAAATGTGGACCAGAATCAGCAACAGTCTTAGTAAGGAGCACTGAGTCCCCTTTGGTGACCCTCCTCAGACCCTAGGTGAATCGTTCCTCATCCACCTGGCTGTCCTGAGGATATCCCTGGGCAAGGGACTTTAGAATCTACTGTAAAGCAGTGCCAGATGAAAACTAGAACTAGAACTGTGTAGAAGTACTCACACTCTCCTGTCCTGTAGCTTAATAGGTTGTAGCTGCTTTCAGGCCTTTTGCTGGGTTGGCTCCTTCCCTGCTGATAGGTTGTCCTCCCTAGGAGACTGTAGGGCAGTAGAGATCCTTCTCTCGGCTCCAGCCTGTAGGTAGGACCCCCTCCCTGGGGCCCCTTGCCAGGTTCAATGCTCCAGCACCTTCCTTCACTCCATCGTCCACCTGACTCCACCTCAAATCCACTATTCAGACTCTCTCGCATTTAAGGACTATTCTAGTAGCCATGCCGGGCTTACTGCCTGGAGAATAGCCAGGTGACCCTAAACATGCAAATCCAGGGCTCCGCCCCTCTTCCAGACAGTTTCAACAGTTTCTAGAAGGGTGGGAGTGCACCAGAAACCCTGACCTGTAGTGCCTCCCAGCCTGTCTTGAGGTAACCTCACTGCCTCACTCCCAGGCTGACTCATCCCAGGCTTCAAACAAGCCTCTGACTAACCACAAAAATCTATTCTACCAAGAGGACGCTACATATATGTAAAAAAATTGGAGAAAACTATAGTTCCTGTTGAAGTTGTTTTTCTAAAGATTGTCAGTAAATTCAGAGAGCATCTGGTCACCATAGCAAAATTTCCATTTGTAGCTGTGACAGCTCTGTGCAGGCTTTGGAGTCGCAACTGTCTGCTGGGACTGTGATTCTGCCTCTGCAGTTCTCTATAATAACTGAATGGACCTCTCTTCTCCCCCGAGCCCCCGTGTTTTCTTCTTCTCTGTATGACAGACATTGACGGGCTGTCAGAGACACAAGACGCATGCTGATCAGTAAGAGGTAACATTGCAGTTCTGACATTTCATTGTAGATGTATTCCAGACTGTTCATTATGCAAAGGTAGACTGGATCTTCCTTTCAGCCGGGGCTCTATGCAGTATTTGGTTATAAAGTGTACCTGTCATTCACACACAGTCATTTCATGGCAGAACCATCCTGGAGGTTAATGCGGACTTCTGGGGAGCTCCAGCAACGCAGCGGGTGGTAAAATGAGAAAGAAGGATCCCCAGCTGAGGTATTAGTTCTCAAACACCATAGAACTGCAGAATGTACAGGAGGATATACAGTCAAAAGCATGGCTGAATGGGTTTTAATTTAAAAGAAACTTCTCTACAGTTTCTAATGGTAGAGCTGTTTAGCTGTATATAATTAAACCCCAAGCAGATAATAAAGAACTACACTTTAAATCAGTTATGTACTAATTGAAAAAATACATTAAGGCCC